GCCATGCTATAGAGAGGTGTGAGATACAAAACATGGCTGTAAGTGGATAGAAATATTCTTATGCCTTCCAACTTATATAAAAAGGGAACGGAATGTGGGTAGGCTAGGTTCGTTAGCTTATGAATTCACATCAAGCTGATTAATGTTTAGGATTAACAAAATATCCCGGAGCAGTTTCTGCACATAACGATGATTTAGTTTGCTTTGTGTTTTAATAAGAATTTATTGAAATTCATATCGTTTGTTATAAATGAGGCAGAAAGAATTTCATTCTTTAAAAAAAAGTGAGCAAGGGAAAACAAATCAGGCAAATGCTTTCATCTATTTCTTATTTCCAGGAATATTGATAGCATACTTTTGGGGGGTGGGTAAGGGGAGGTGAGTGGTAGAACATGAGGCCTTTTCTAGAATTTCAAAATTGAGTAGGGTAAACTGAAGCAATTTGATTGTGAGTTTCCTTCCCCAATATCTGCTGGAGAGACTGTCTCATAACAAGGAGATTTGTGTCGTTGGAAAACAAAATCTGTTGTGTGGGTTTCTGGTTCTTTAAATACTGTGGCTTGTAAAAGTCTTCATTTCTAATAAATCAAAGTTTATTAGGGAAAGAATAAGCTTATCTCAGCAAGGCATTTCTTTGGATTTACTCTTTCTATTTGCTTCCCACCTCTTCTGATTAAGGGCATGTATAATTTAGGTATACCAATGAAGGCATGTGAATTCTTGTTTGCAAAAAGAAGGTGAGAGAAGAATGTTTTGGTTCAGAAGTTAAATAAATCTGGCAAGATCTCAGCTGTGGTTCAGACGCCAAAGGGAAGACGAGAAAAGGATAGTGGCTTACTACAAGGCTGTACCAGCTCCTACAGTCCCTTATCATTGTCCATGCTGGTTGGTTTGGCAGGAGTTGAAGCGCAAAACATTTGGAAAGCCTTTGGTTATCTTCACTGGGCTATGAGGTTGATTAGCAAGGCCCTCAGGGGTGCTCAGAGGGTGAAGACCAGGCATTGGCATTTTGTTGCCTGAGGTGAATATTAAAAAAGATGTGAAATGATGATGCTGGACAAAAAAGCTGAATTGGTCTTCAATGCTTGTAATGAAACAGAGTTCTTCTCTGTCACCAAAAATAGTAGGTCAGTTTAGAGGACACAGGCCAGGCTATGAGTCCCTAGAATGCCATCTCTGAATTTGGTGGAGACCCTTACAAGGACTCCCTTAAGTTCCTCTTGAAGACCCTCTCTTTTCATCCAGGATTTCTGTCTGTTGGCGTCCTTTTGCTTTGGTTTGGTTCCCCCCCCCTCATTCTTCCCCTCGATTATTTCAAGGAGTGTGTTATTTCATGCTTTTTTAATTTACCCTCTGTTGTTTGTGTTTTAATGCTGATTTTAAATCAAGATCAGCAGTAGGAGTAGTAGCGGCAATGACAGGGATGGGGCTGATGAAAATTGTGATGGAGACTTGTCTAAAGCTATGATTTAATTGGGTGGAGAATAGAAGTGAGCCAAATCTTGCTGTTATACTAAATACGGCCGAGCTGGAGACGGGAAGGAACAGGCTCAAGGAACATGACATCCATAACATAATCCTTATGTTAATTTAAATACCTTGTATGCAGTTTGCTGCTTTGGTTGGCAGGCAATAAATTTGTGACAGCACCGAAACAGCAGAAGTCTCCTGAGACCGAGGTCAGCTCTGCAGCCTCTTTCGCTTTCTCTTGCCTTGAATGAATCCTACTGCTATGATATGAATAATTGGGCTCTCCAGAGACTTCTACAATTGTGAGTTTATGCAATGCCTGTTAGGCTTACAGTACAAATCCCACTGTGGAACGAGGTGGCCTTTCGGCTGGCAAAGGATCAAAGCAACGTAGTGTCATTTTCCTACAGTACATGCATGCCTTCCGTTTTCCTTATTCTTAATTATGAATGTATTCATTGGCCTGGGAGGGTCTCAGAAGCAATGAGACCTCTCAGCCAAAACTTGTTTGTTTGTTTTGTTTACATTTGTTTTGGAGATCCTTTCCCCCCAGAGAACTCTACCAGGTCATCTCAGTTGGTCATTTGCAAATTTTTGGGTTAATTAGATTTTCAAAGGGCAGACTGTTGATGTATATAAGTAATTTTAAATACTAATTCTTGCTGACAAGATGCTCTTTTTATTACTAATGGCTGTGATGGTTTTGTCTGTGTCAGTAATTTTTTTATAAGCCCAAAGGGATTGTCAAGACCTCTTGAGACTTCATTTGCAATTGATAATACTGTATATCTACGAAGGAGGGAGAAAAGCAAGCTTGATTTGGGAACTGGGATGATAATGAGAGCATGGAAATACCTGCATAACAACAACAACAACAACAATAATAAAGTTGGAAGGGATCTTGGAAGTCATCTAGTCCAATCCCTTGCTCAGGCAGGAAATCCTATACCATTTTGGACAAATGGCTGTCCAGTCTCTTCTTAAAAACTTCCAGTGTTGGAGCATTCATTGCTTCTGAAGGCAGGTTGTTCCACTTGTTAATTGTTCTAACTGTCAGGAAGTTTCTCCTTAGTTCTAGGTTGCTTCTCTCCTTGATTAATTTTCATCCATTGCTTCTAGTCCTGCCTTCAGGTGCTTTAGAGAATAGCTTGACTCCATCTGGGTCATTTTAAAACTGCAGTTTTGTTAACTGAGATGGGGAAGCCCCAAGGTTTCATGTGTCATCTTGGAGAGGTGGTCATATGCAAGCAAACTCTTTACTACAATACATTTTATGTTAGTCTTCTCTTGAAAATTGTTGACCACATTTTATCCCAGATTTGAAATGCTAGTGATTTTCATTGCAGAATTCAAAATTGTTGACCAGCAAACCCCTAACTGTTACTGTGGGCCAGACCTTTTGAAAGGCTGCCTGTTTCTTTTAGCAACTGTCGGTAATTATCAGCCATCATTAGACATCTTGTTAAATATTCCACCAGCAAAAACACCCAATCCAACCCAACCATCAATAGTTGTATAGGACCTTTGCAGTAGTAGCGATGAGTGCAAATTTGGCAGAGCTTCTTCCTTATGTTGCTTTTTGCTAAGAAGTCAACACTGCTTTGAAACATTAGTATTCCGTACTCACAATGGGTTATCATCTGCTACGCTGTTACTCCTTGGTTTCATGATCAGCTTTCATGTTGTTGTTGCTGACAGGCAAGGAGTTTAGCAGAACCAGAACTTAGAATGCCATTAGCTTCTCCACATGGCTCCAACTTCCAACTGACCATTTCTTCTCTGTCCTGGCTTGCTAAATCTAAACCTTAGAATTGTAGCTTCATATTTGAGATGACCTCATCACATGCACTAGGGATAGACTATAAGCCAGGGGTGTCAAACTGCCAGCCCGCGGGCCGGATGTATCATGCCGAAACTGCACCCACCCCAGCTCCAGCAATGGGGGGGGGGAAAGTCATGATACGTCGCGACACGTCACGTGACGTTGCAAGTTTGACACCCCTGCTATAAGACTTGCAAAGCAACCCAACACCATCTGGTTACTTCAAATAATGTAATGAGCCACCTGTTCTCTCCCCCCCCACCTATGAATCAGAGAAATGATACAGTTTGTATCACATCTGTTATTAAAGAAGAGAGAGAGAGAGATGTGGGTGGAGGGGGTGGCAGTGGAGAATATGCAAACTAGGCTGATTGTGTCTGACCACTGATGCTGTAACAATGAATTGGCCCATTTTCTATCGCGCAAAGACTGAATGGCACCTCGCTGCTGGATGATTCCAGTGAAATTGAATTGGCCCTTTCTCAGGTTTTAGTCGTGTACCCATCCATCAAAAACAGTGCTTAACCAGAATGCAAGATTAATGACTGCCAGAGATTTAATTTGCTAATACCTGAAGGAGTCACTAATGGGGTTTGGGAGTGTTATGAAAGGTGGAGGAGGGGAAGCTGAAGAAAACACGATGATGGCTCTGAAAATCAGGCTTGTATGCAAGCCCAGCCATTCATTAATAAGTCTGGGAGAAGCCAGAGTTCTTTGGTTTCGCTATAAACGCTCTAAAAAGAGCTGTTTTTAATTATTTATTCTTTGTTCTCAGCAACACAAACAAGTATTTTGCAGTGCATTTGGCTTAGCTGTCTTCTAATTTCCTTAAAGTTAGAGAAAGGATGGGTTTTCTTTTTTTCTTTTCTTTTCTTTTCTTTTCTTGGCTTCCAAGAGCAGGCAGAGCTATCATTCCATGGTTTGCTGCCTTTAGATTCACACAACCATCACTCTTGAACTTCCCCGTGCTTCTCTCCAATAAGGCAGCTCTTGTTTATCCCTGGGAATCTTTTATTTTGTTTAACATCTGTTTCTCCAGCTGGACTGGAAAGCCAACTGGAGCTTGACATGGGATTTAAATGCTTATTTCATTTAGAAGGACAACTCTCCCAAACCCTGCAATCTCCTAAAACAAAACATATTTTTTTTCAGGATGAGGTAAATGCTAGGCTTTTGTAAGTATTTAATGCATGGTTCTGATGTATTCTCCATGCTTCAGGAGAAATAGAAATGAAAGGTGGATATTCAAGCAGGTCTGAGATGTTTATTAGACTTTTTAGGGGTGGGTGGCTGATCAATTGTTCTAACTGTCAGGAAGTTTCTCCTTAGTTCTAGGTTGCTTCTCTCCTTGATTAGTTTCCACCCGTTGCTTTTTGTCCTGCCTTCAGGCGCTTTGGAGAAGAGCTTGAGCCATTCTTCTAACTAAGACCATCATTCTCTGTAGATAACAGAAGTAACTTAAGGCCTGTTATGTTATTATTTTTGAATACGTATAAATGAATCATTTTCCCTCTCATGTGAAATTTATAAATACGAGTGCATCTCTTTGTCTGCAGGGCTGTGTCTTCTTTTGGAAGGGACCCCCTCCTCCTTCCAGGACACACTACTAAATAATTAAATACTGTGGTGAGTCTTGATCATCGGTTGTTGGGTCCTGCATGGGATTCCACAGTAACAGTCAATGAACTCAAAAGGAAAAAGGACTTACTTCTTTGGGAGCGAGCACAGCAGAAAGCCACAATAGTGGCCATCAGGACTAGGAAAGCCACACCAGCTCCAACGGCCACACCTATGATGACTGCCATGGGCACTGACTCTGGAAGAAACAAGACAACAAATGAAGTGGAGAAGGAATCCCCCTGTTCCTTTTTTCCTTGCCCCACACTTGCTACCAAGACCTCCATTATTTATTCTCAAGTAATTCTTCATTCTCAGATTTGCCCATGTCATCGGTAAGACTAGTTCCTACTCGATGAAAGAGACACAGGGTTAGAAATGCACAGCAGACTATGATGAGCTGGAAAAGGAACATGTGGGTTTAGGCGTAAGGCTTACGTTGGGTCACTAACCCCTGGATCTCCTGTGTTTGTGAAAATAAAGTCAACTTTTGGCTGCCAAGACTGGCTAGGATCCCATCCCTTTGAGCCGTTTACTTGAAATATTGAAACCTCCTTTGAGGACAGAGACAGTGGCTTTGATAAAAGTAAAATTAATACTGTGTGCTTGGGTTTGGATATTTGAGTGTATGCAGACCAAGTTCAAAAGTACAGGATGGGCTGCTTTATTATTTGAAGCTACTTGCTTCAGCCCTAAGAAAAGCAAGTTTCTGAAATTCTCCTGTTGAATCATCCTTATGAACATGGCTTGACCAAAATCATCTTTCATAGTTCTGTTATCCATAGTAACTTCTCCAGATTTTTGTTTCATCTCCCCCAATCCTATACATGTATAACAGTCTTCTTTGTTATTGCAATTTTGGAGAAGATTGAAAGCATCCACTCTACTTGTAAAGCAACATCTGATTACATCTTAATTTGAGGAAGTATTAAAAGCATCCCCTTCGTGAATCAGTCCTGAGGATGGAGAATCTGCAACCTAAGGCTTGCTGGTCTTTCTACACCATGATTTAGGATGACATCTGAGGATGTCATCGTAGTTCTTGGTTCAAGCATGCTTCCAAACCATAGTTTGGTGGTTATGTTCCTGAGCCTAGGCGTGGCTGTTCATGTGCTCTTCATCTGTCTAGTTAATGAAATGATTATTTATGTATTTATTTATTTTATTTATAGTGATCACATAGACAGACCTTCTCCAGAAGGAAGTTAACCAAACATTTCCTACCCTGCTATCATAAAACGACTCAATGCATGGGATAAAAATTGGGTGAGTTTTTGAAAAGTTAAATACAAATTTTTAAAATCCTTGACTAGTTCTTGCTTAGCTTCTGCTTTGTAACGGATTATGATTGAACGGTACTTTGGGCTGAGGACATGCTGTCTAAATTAATTGTTGCTTGTCAAAAATGATCCCGAGGAAGTGGAAATGAAATATAGGAATGTGAAATAAAACTAGCAGCTGTCAAAAATTCAACTTTGCTGTCATTCTCCCCCCCCCCAATAATCCAGCCAGTGTTTAGATTTCAGAGCCCATACAGAGAGTCTCCGCACCCCCATACGAATGATTGCAAGTTATATTTGTGAAAGGTTGATGAAGAAATGGTATGTGATGTGAAAGGAGGGAAAAAAAAAAAAGCTTTTCCATCCTTCGGCTGCAGGAGAATCTACTCAAATAGTCTTACACTCCTGGGGGATAAATAATATATTGCTATTTCTTCACTTGGTATTACCTTCTCCATCCCAAGACCAGCCCTACTATTATGTAAAGTGGTAGATGTTGAGGAACAGTAACGTCAACAGCTTTGGCTTAGCCCTAAGTCATTCTGTTTTGCTTTTTGTTTGAACACTTCATTCTGAGTTTGGGGACATTTCTGCCTCTCCTGGGTTCATAAAACAGCAGTACAAAATGGCGTTCTCCCACCAGGATAATAAGAAGTGAAGATTTAACCATTGATTCAGTTAGCTTCTGTTGCCAGAAAAGGGAGGAACACCCCACCCTCCACATCTTTCTCTTGTTTGGGGTAGTAAAATATCTTAGGACAACCTTGATCCCAAACTATATATGGGAAGAAGGAAACAAATATTTGGGAAAAAAAAAAGATCCACTGATCAGAATAAGAAGTCAAGGGATTGTATTATGTTGACTGTGTTTTTTTTTTTTCCAAATTTGTTAACTGGTGGCTGAAAGGATGTGGAGAACCAGACATTTCCAGCCTCTCAGCACAAACTTCAATGTCCAGACTGAAATGGGACGGATCAAAAATTGAGATATTGGTTCTATGAAAGCCTGCACGTTTTCAACTCTCCGCACAGATTTTCATTTGGAAAAAGTGGATAATTCACAAGAAAAACATCAAAAATGGTGAAATTTAGTTCGATGAAAGATTGGACATTTTCAATTCTCCACACACATTCACTTGTCATTTAGAAAAAAAGTGGATAATTCACAAGCAAAAAAAAAAAAACATATCAGATTCATGAACCAATTCTGCAACATGGAAAGCTGGTCTTGTTCATTCATTGTTGGTGACTTCAAGTTTACACAGTTCAGTATATTATTCTTAGTGTTGCCCTTGAAGATGCTAAAAATGTCAGTTAGCATAAACTATTGCTGTCCACATTTGGGTAGGCAAACAGAACACATGGGTGGGCACACCTGACAGCTTCATTGATTTTCAGTAGGCCTGCAGATATATTAAAGAAACGGTTTGGTGTATTGCTATGATTTTGTCTTGCTTTCACGTCACCCATAATTTGATAGCAATAGCAATAGCACTTAGACTTATATACCGCTTCACAGTGCTTTACAGCTGTCTCGAAGCAGTTTACAGAGTCAGCGTATTGCCCCCAGAAATCTGGGTCCTCATTTTACTGACCTTGGAAGGATGGAAGGCTGAGTCAACCTTGAGCCAGTGAGAATCGAACGGTCAAACTGCTGGCAGCTGGCAGTCAGCAGAAGTAGCCTGCAGTACTGCACTCTAACCACTGTGCCACCATGGCTCATACCAAAGATTGAACTGTCTCTCAGCTGATAGCCCGCTGGTCAGAATGGTCTTGCCCAGTTTTGATTCCGGCCACTTTCAATTATTGGATTGGGAAAGCATCACCGTTACTTGTGGGTTTTGAAGAATAATTGCAGATGGAATATTGGAAGCCTAGCTGGAAGTGAAGAACCTGGGAACACAGAATCTCTCCACAGTGCAAAGAGAATTGTTAAAGCCAAATCAGTGGAAAGTTTATCCTCTTATACATGAACCTTGATTGTTTCTATAGTGAGTATGCTCTCACAGGTAATGCTCTACTGTGGCAATATAAAAGTTTTACTATCTAGGCCTCATCAAGATACCAAATCAGGTTTGAGATTCTATGATTCAATCAAGCTTGTTTCTGAGTCCGACAGCCCTAAACTTACAGGTAGTCCTCAGGTTACAATTTGGACCAGACCTTTTGTCACTCAGTGATTTGTTTTGTTTGTTAAGCGAATGATGTGGTCATTAAAGCGAATTTAGCTTCCCGCATTGATGTCGTTTGTCTGAAGTCTCCTGGGAAGGTTGCAGATGGGTGCTCATGTAACCCCAGGAGGTTGAAATTGCCGTAAATGCACTCACATTTTAATCACATAATTGCAGGAATACAGGTGGTCCTCAACGTATGACCACGACTGAGCCTAAAATGGCTGTTGTTAAGCGAGACAGTTGTTAAGTGGGTTTCTCCCCTTTTTACGACCTTGCTTGCCACAGCTGTTAAGTGAATCACTGCAACTGTTAAGTTAGTAACATGGTGGTTAAGTGAACCTGGCTTCCCCCAATGGACTTTGCTTATCAGAAGGTTGCAAAAGCAGATCTGATGGTCCCGGGACGCTGCAATCGTCATAAATATACACATCAGTTGCCAAGCATCTGAATGTTGACCATGAGGATGCTGCAATGACTGTGAAAAATAGTGGTAAGTCACTTTTTTTCAGAGGGGTTGTCACGTCGAACAGTCACTAAACGAACGGATGTAAGTTGAGGACTACTTGTACTGCAATAGTCGTAAGGGTATGGACTGTTCATCACTCGGTTTTGCAAGCACTGTCGTAACTTCAGACGGTGATGCCTTATCCTTATGAATGGTTGTAACTCAAGGATTACCTGTCCACTGTTTTCCTTTGCAGTTGAAATAGGGCTCTTCTTCCATCCAATGTGAGAATGTAGTTATTTCGGATCTATGACAGCAACCCTTGTTGTTAAAATGCCCTCTGCTTGCAGGTGTCTCATCAAACAACAGAGACACCAGCAGATGCCATATGGCACTTCCCTTTCTCTGCCCGCACTGCTGTTAGGGATCTATGGTATGTGAGATGCAGCCTCTTCTGTCTTAATGGCGCCATTCATGCTTCTGCTTTTCATCCCTTTCCCACTCTTTTGTGTGTCTGATCGGGGAATGATTAGAGGTGTGGTTTTGTGACGAAGGGACAATATCAAGGGCATGGCGCTTTATATGTGTTTCAGTTCTTTTGTGTAGGGCAAATAGCTATTTGCTGCTATCTGGATCAGAAGGATGATGAGTTTTCACCGTCCTTGTTATTTGTGTTATTTTGTGTGTTTGAAAGGGCTATGGAAAGATCTAGGGTGGAATTTTCATGGCTATCGGATAAACCAGATGTCCTTTCCTAAGGCAAGAGTGAAACAGCACCGGCCTCAGAGGGGTAAAACTGATAGTGGTAATTATCAATACAATTCTACATCCCTACCAACCTGAGTTTTTCGTGCTTTTTAATCTACACCAGTGGTTCTCAACTTTTTCTTCACCATGGACTCCCTTTAAATACCTTTTGTGGCCACCCCAAGATGTAACTCAAGATGTAAATCAAAACATAACATTTCTCCAAGCCCTTGACATTGCAGTTGAGAACAACTGATCTATACATTTTTGTCCATTTTTTAAAATATATTGTTTGTCTATTTTGGGGGTATGCATATATGTGTGTGAGAGAACCCTAAACCCCAAATTCTGAAAAGTGCAGATTACAGAACGCGTGTAGCTTTTCCAATATTCAGCTTTTCCAACAGATCTCAGGCTGGTTTACATATCAAAGATTTCTGATAGTTCCTTTTTGCTGGTCGGTAGGTTTGTTTGCATCTTTTTTTTCTGCCAATATTCGAGATCTTGATCCATCTCTTGGTTCTGGTTATGTTACTGAGGGCCAAATTTCCTGCAGAATTAATTACGATCCACCGTTTGCAAATTTTCAGAAAAGTTTCCAGCTGGCTTTTAATACGTAAATGGGTTTTGTTGAATTGTTTTTTTACCTGTTTGAGATTGCTTTATGAGATGGGTTGTTTTAACTACTCGTTGTTCTTACTGTTACTTTTATTTTTTTATTTTTATAGTACTTTTATAGCCATGGATTTATTGTTTATAAGCCACCATGGATTTATTGTTTATAAGCCACCTTTGTCCTTAAAAGAGGTCTGGGAATATTTCAAGTGTATCAAACGAATAAATGAAACCGATGGTGCCTGTGGGCGGAAAGGAAAAAAAAATATCAAGATGGCATCCACAACTGTGTGATTGAAGCCCTGCCCCTCCCCTTTTAATGTGTGTGTCGGTCCTCTAAGGCGGACCAAATTCGAAAACCATAGACATGCAAGCTAATACTACTTATATTATAAAGTATAATACAGGTGGTCCTCAACTTATGACCACAGTTGAGAGCAGGGTTCCCATCGCTAAGCAAGGCAGTCGTTAAGTGACTCATTGTGGCCTTTTTGCCATTGTTGTTCGCCAGTTGTTAAGTTGATCACAGGTCTTTAAGTGAATCTGGAAACCAGTCAGGAAGAAAGGTTGCCAAAGATGATCACATGACCCTGGGATGTCGCAACCATTGTAAATACACACTAGTTGTCAAGCACCTGGGTTTTGATGGTGTGATATCCATAGTGTGAGACTGGTTGTAAGTCATTTTTTCAGTGCTGTTGTAGATTCCGTCCCTAAGTGAATGGTTGTGAGTCAAGGGCTACCTGTATTATCAAATATTATAGTAACAGAATCTTGCAAGTCTTAATCAATCTTCCACCACCCTCCCTTTTTCTTTATGAGAAGAAGGGAGGGTCATGTCTGATGTTTTCTCAAATTACATTCCAGTCCCGGACTCATATTTCTTTTATCTCACCATTGTCTTGGTTGTGGTTCTTCCTCCTGTTCCTCAAGGTTATTCCTTCTGCCCATTACACACAAGAAAAGAGCAGGGCGTGGATTACATGGCTGCAGAAGCCATCTTGCCATTTTTGACACCTCCCCTCTCCCCCCTCCCCCACCCATCACCACCATCATGAATGACCTTGTCAACCATGCAGATTTAAAGTCATGCGTGGCTCTTTGACTTAATTTTGAAAGCCACCTACAACGATCCTCCAGGCTCTTGATCGGAATAATCTTGTTTTTCCCTGGCAGCCTGATGGATGAGGAAGATGAGGTCAGAGGAGAGAGAGCGAAATGCCAAAAGAACGTAGCAATGGCCACTTGCTTTGAACTGTGACCCCCCCCATTCCCTCTGCTAATGACCCATGGCAGTTTAGGCCCAAGGGGATGTGAGCTTGGGGAGAAACCATTTCTCCTGTTCTCGTTCTTAACCACCTTGCAATGTAGGTGGAACAGGAAAGATGCCACCAGCCAAGCTTTCAGAGCAACACACAGGCTGATCCAGAGGTAAGTGAGAAGCTCTTATGAAGGGAAGGTGAGGTCCTAATAACAAACGCAGACACTAAGAGAAGATGGTTTGTGATGGGGCTCATGCAAACAAAGTAGCCCAGAGCAAAGCAGGATGATGGGATGGGTAGAAGCTTGCAAAAAGCAGTTTTCAGAAACATGGTAAACTTAAGTCAGCAAAATCATTCCTGCAGTGGAACTCTCATCTTTGTTTCCCCAAAGTATCTAACCAGAACTAACCATGATCAATTCCTTGGATTCCCATAAGCGTGCCAAATGCAGTCAGTAAATTCCTCCAGGAGACCATCGCTGTTAATTTAGCAAAAGAGGGAGGTATAGGCTATACCTGAAATTGAATTTTGCTTGGGGTCGTTTTGACATGCCAGCATTCATTTGAGAGATGAGGTTCAATTGGTGGAACATGGCTTAAAGAACATGTTAATAGGCCATTCACAGGCATTTTCCAGCTCTGGATCTAAGGATAAGTAAGATATCCTCTTCTTCATGCTCATCAATTCAACACCTCGGTAGTCGTAGTGTGAATTTTAGCACTATCCCATTGGGAAAAGCAGGAGGACTTGGAATGGGAGAACTTTAAAGAACCCAAGGATTCTGAAGACTAACCAACCCTTCTGACAATGGTTCCTCTCTCAGGCATCCTTTTACCTCCTTTTAATGGACATGGCATAACTGTTTCATTGGGGTTATCTTGGGAGATGGGGGAGATCAGTTCACAGAGTCACCTTCACTCATAATTCCGTACCTGTTTCCATACCAGCTCCTGACTTCATTTCCGTACCTGTTTGAAAATAAAGCAAGTGTCTACAGCCAACGCCCAACTACAAGATCAGTCAGTTATTTCTTTTTCTTTTGCTGGGGTTGCAAATTCCGGGGAAGGTTTGCCCATCACTTCCAAAGGCAGCTTCAGGGGCCACGGCCCACTTGTTGCAAGGGCTGGGGTTCCAAAATGCCTCTGGACATCAGGCAACCCCCATCTGAGTGTCCATCATATTTCAAAGTATATTTGGAGGAAATTGCTAGTGGGGAAAGAGAGAGAGAGAGAGAGAGAGAGAGAGGGAGAGGGAGAAAGAGGGAGGGAGAGAGGGAGGGAGAAGGAAAGCACAGGGAGGAAGGGAGGGAGAAAGGAAGGGAGGAAAGGAAGGAAGAAAAAGAAAGAAAGAAAAAAGAAAGAAAGAAAGAAAAAGAAAGAAAGAAGAAAGAAAGAGAGAGGGAGGGAGGAGGGAGAAGGAAAGGAAAGAAGGAAGGAAAGAAGGAAGGAAAAAGAAAGAAAGGAATAAAGAAAGAAAGAAAGAAAGAAAGAAGAAAGAAAGAAAGAAAGAAAGAAAGAAAGAAAGAAAGAAAGAAAGAAAGGCTTGCTTGTGGAAAGCTATTTTCTTAGGAAATGGATTTAGTTGAATAGTGAGCAAGACATTTTAGCTTTCTATCTGCAGAATGTTTTAAAATCCAGGGGAACATTCAAACATTCAGCACTGCACTTGTAGGCAAAAGGGGTATAGTCCTGGGACCATTGTATATATGATTAGATTGGCAGTTGGAAAAGCAATTGTTGGAAACTTTATTCCCTTTCCTATAGGCTCAGCCATTATAAATCAACCAGCAGCTTTTCATCTTACATCAAAATGAGGTTGCTATTTTTGGCAGAACTGTCTGGTTTCCAAGACTGCTGGGCAGTCAGCAGTCACCTGTTTTTTTTATGAGCTCTGCAGAACAGTGATCCATCTCAAATGATCTTTAATTACATTTACCTATATTATGAACGACTGAACAGAGTGCTTTACTAGAATCTGCTTTCTTAGCATTGCAGATAATCTCTGCATGCCCAGGAAAAATGGGCAGCAGGAAAACAATCTACTAACTTTATTGCACTGGGCTAAAATCAAGGCTGACTTTAAGTCCATTTGATTTCAGTTTAATCTGAAAGGTAACCTTGCCTTTAAGTGAAAACTTAATGAGAACAGTCCAAATGTCCTCTCTAACATTTAAGAGGAAGTGATGGAACTGAAGACCCTACTGAATCAATGTATAAATGGTATAGGATTTCCTGCTTGAACAGGAGGTTGGACTAGAAGACCTCCAAAGTCTATTCTATTCTATTCTATTCTATTCTATTCTATTCTATTCTATTCTATTCTATTCTATTCTATTCTATTCCTATCCCTATCCCTATCCCTATCCCCATTTTAATGTTGCTCTTCCTTCTAAGACTTTTCAACACCATTTAGGAGGGGGACCTTTAAAATTATAATCATGTTTCAGTCAAGAACATTTCCTTTTATGTGACTGAACAGGAAATAAAGCCCATCCTTTAGGTAGTTTGTTGACTTCAGCAAATGGCTAAATCAGATTGGCTATACAGTTTCACACTGCTGAGCCTATGATCCTGGGATAGATCACTGGACAAAAAATGAAATGGGGAGGGGAAACTTGCAAATAAAATTGGCAGAACAGTAGTGGGGAGCAGTGACTGGGTGGTCATGAACATATAGAATAGATAATGGTGCAGGCCATTTTCTCCATTATTTGCAAGCCAAAAAACTGAAGAATGCTAATCTTATCCGTAATTTATAATCCCCCAAAGAAATTATGGTATCCAACTAACCTCTTTTACATGACTCTGTTGCTAATACAGAAGATCATTACAAAGGTAAGGAGGTTTAAATGATGTATCCCATTTCTTTCTCTCCTTTCCAATATAAAATGCCTTCTCTTCTGCATGCTTGTGCCATAGTAGTTCAAGCTTATTTTGCCCAATGCACACAAGTTTTGTAATTTTCCTGCCTCCCCTAACTGGTTAATTTCTCGTGCCTTTTAGCTTAAGATTGTTATCTCTTCTTTTTGAGTATATTTATCATTATTCCAGACAATTGCTTTGGTCTGGCAAGATTAATGTCTGGCCCAAGGAACCAAGAGTGACATGTGGAGTTACTTATGAGTAGTTCCTTTATTGTTGTTCGCCTACAGACAGAATCTTGCCAGACTAAAGCAATTATCTGCCATCACTATAGACATACTCTCTGATTGTTGCTCTCTTTTTGCCTGTCAGACATTCCGAGTTCCACTGTCTCTTTGCCCTCTGGGAAAAAAGCATTTCTCTCCTGGGATTCTCGACTACATTCCACCATAGCTTTGCTAAAAAAAAAAATCCTATCAAAGTTTACTTCATGTTTTTTCTGCTTCTGAATCCACAACCACCTTTTAATGTGGTAAGATAGGGACTCAATTCTTAACTTCTATTTAACACAACTTCAACTCTTTAGATCTTCCCTTCTCAAAGTTTTCTGTCTGGGAGGAGAACTAGATCATTTTGTAGATCAACTAGCTGGTAATATTTAGTGCACCATCCCATTTTTTTTCTACCGTGTTTATGGTGCCACAAACACAAAGGATGAACTAGGACTTTCTGAACTCATCCATCTGTATTCAGATTCTGAAGAAACCCTTTCTTCTCACCTGGTGCAATTTTGTTCTGCAGGCATGTCACTGAAACATATAGCTTTGCTTAAAACAATTTCGTCTGAATTCAATTTATATGTAAATCATGTAGTGCACCGTAAGGACAAGAAGTTAAGAGCCACCAATGAGTTTTCAATGGTTGGCCAGGGTTTGTATTCTCTATAGGAGGCAAGGCAAAAGAGAAAGAAATGGGTGGGCCAAAGTGCAAAATAAATAAATAAATAAACTTTGTTAAGTTCATCTAATTTAATTTACAGATTAAATGAGATGGGAAGAAAATGGAAAAGAAGAAGTCAGCACAAATAAGGGTAGAAGCATATCATAATTTGTCAGTGGTCCAATAAGTCGAAGTGCAACATTTTTTTTCTCTATGTGCAAATCGAAGATCTTCCCTGTATCTGATTGGCTATTTGGCTGCCAATCAGAACAATGGTTAGGAAACAATAACTAAAGGACTTTCTATCCAAAGTCCAAGACATTAATTCCATGATTTCGTTTGAATCAATCGAAGATGGTTTGAACAAAACGAAATGAAAATCTCAACAAAACGATGCTCACGTTAGAGAAATTTGAAGACCTATGAATCATGAATTGTGCAATATATAGATTAACTCTTTGTTCGGTGCGTCTAAGAATTCTAAATAGTCTTGATCTTGGTTAATGCTCAGCAGGAATAGGTTTGATTTAGGGTAAGCAGCAACTAATTAATCAATCTACACTTTCAGATCATCATTGAATAAGACAGGCACAAGCTAAGACTTTTCCTTTCACCGATCTTAATCAGATTATGGTTCCGCTTGATCAGAGTTGGAGTCTGAACCTTCTTTGCCACTTTTTCCTAAGCTGATGAGACTTGCCAGCTTTTGAAACTGCAACTCCATCCTCTTTGGTTCTCTGTGAAGGTCTGTACCTTAAAACATGGCCTTTTAACATTTCTCCCATTAGGATGCCAGGCCCCCAGGTATGCCAAAACCTTGAGTTTTATTTCATCCTATTTTATCCTGCTTCTCTCACCTTCAATGGGAAAGCCCTCTAACCATTCTACCAGAATGACCCCCAGACCCTTTCTAGTTTTGAAACACTGCAGAAGCAATTCCCACCTTGTTCTTTTAAACGTATGATCTCAGTGTCCGAGCCAAAACTATTCCAGGCAGTGCAGTTGTAAATGGTCTGGAAGTCGGCCCGCACGATGTTGCTGATGGTTAAGGTAGAGATGACCCCTTCATCGGCGCTGACGGTTTCCACCGTGTATCGTCCCGAAGTTCCAGACTCCAAGACATTTTCCTTCCATGACCAGGCCTGCAGGGGAAAGCGAGTTATAATGTGTCATGCTTGCAACTAGTTTTGGTCACCACGCTCTAAAAAAGATGCTGGGACTCTAGAAAAAGTGCAGAGAAGAGCAATAAAGATGATCAGGGGACTGGAGGCTAAAACCCAGTGCTTTTTTCTAAAAAAAAAAAAAAGGTGCCGGAACTCACACACATCATACAACCCGCCTTGCCTACCCTACAAGGTTCCATCCAAAAAAGGTGCCGGAACTCCGTTCTGGGCGTTCTATGAGAAAAAAAGCCCTGCTAAAACCTATGAAGAACAGTTACAGGAACTGGGCATGGCTAGTCTAGTGAAAGAAGGTCCAGGGGAGACATGATAGCAGTGTTCCAATATTTGAGGGGCTGTCACAGAGAGGAGGGGGTCAATTTATTTTCCAAAGCACCTGAAGGCCAGACCAGGAATAACGGATGGAAACTGATCAAGGAAAGACAGATTCAACCTAGAAATAAGGAGAAATTTTCTGACAGTGAGAACAATCAACCAATCAATAGATTGACTTCAGGAGTTGTGGAAGTTTCATCACTGGAAGCTTTCAAGAAGAGACTGGACTGCCAACTGTCAGAAATGAAGTAGGGTCTCCTGCTTGGGCAGGTTGGTGGTGGGGGACTAGATGACTTACAAGGTCCCCTCCAATTCTGTTATTCTATTAGCTATTATCCTGACCATCTTTGCAGAATAACAAGGAACCTTGGAGGACTTTTAGTGACCCAAAAATATGTATGCACAAATGCATATGTATATTTGCTATTTCTTAATACCTATGAACATGGAACATCAGAAAGGTAAAAATCCTATATACCATTTTAACTTTATCCACATCAGCCTATTTCCCCCATGGAAGGACATGTTAGAGCAATGGTTCTCAACCTGTGGGTCGGGACCCCATTTGGGGTCGAACGACCATTTCACGGGGGTTGCCAAACAACGCAGTCCGCCATTTTTTTCCCCATTTCCTTAGCTGTGCTATTTCCTTTTATTCTATTGGCTTTTGAAAGCCAATAGAATAGACTCTCTTGAATAGAGTCTAATTCTATGAGCTTTCAAAAGCCAATAGGAATTGTCCAGGCTGTCTCTCCCCTGCTGAGCCCGCCAAAAGTCCCATTCTGCAAACGGTGCTGCACCAGTTGAGTAGTCCTCAACTTACGACCAGTTGGGGTCGCGGCATTAAAAAGGTTGAGAACCACTGTGTTAGAGGGTCCACCTTTCCCTTATCACCTCTTCTGAATGAGGTTTGCTAGGTAGCAATTAGGAGAAACACCTTCTCATTGGTGGCTCCTTGGCTACAGTCAATCTATTATTATGCCCCATGCCATTCACAGCTTTTCACAATGGCGTGGAAGACCCAAACTCACAATTCGGTCTGGTGGAGGTGTGCTGCGGATGAAGCATTTGATCTGGCCTTTTTCTCCATGGAGAGCATGCTGGGTCTGTGTGCTGGAGATGATAGGAGGTCCTGGGAAGGAAGGAGAGAGAAAATGGAGGTGAAATTGTTCTTTACTATTTGTAAGCTGCTATTTGTAGTAACTTTACTATTTGTAGCTCACTATTGTAAGTCCTTGACTTACAATCGTTCATTCAGAGACCCAAGTTACATTGGTTCTGAAAAACCTGACTTATAGCTTGGTCTTCGCACTTATGACTTTGCAATTAATCATTTACAATTAACTGGCCAGCTTCTGACAAGCAAAGTCAATGGTAGGGAAGCTGGATTTGCTTACCAATTGTGGCAAAAATGTTTTAAATATTAGGCCTCACTCACTTAACAAATGCCTTGCTTAGTAACAGAAATTCCGTTTCCAGCTGTGGTCGTAAGTTAAGGACTACCTGTATTTTGATTTATTCTTTTCTTTTCCTGATAAATGCAGAAATGGTGAGATTTTTTTTTTTACTTTACAATTCCATTTGAATGTATGCCACACAAGGCAACTGAAGCCAACCTGTCAATTCTTCCTGCCAATTATGTGTTTTATTCTTGGGTTGAAGCAGCGTGGACAAAATTGGGATTTTAAATTTAGGTTCTTCCTTTCTTTAAATCCGCTGAAAGGTTAGATAAAGCCAAGGTAACCAGCAGAGGGTGCAACAGCACAACACAAAAAACCTTCTTCCATCTTCTCCTTAACCAGCAGGCAATCTAACATGGGCAAACTAAAGGGCCAGGTCTGATTCTTAATAAGAAGCATTAGCAATCAAAATGGAATAAGCAAACAGAGGATTAGGTAGGGGTGTATCTCTGTGAGTGCATTCTCGGTGCTTCATTTCTAAAACTCCATTCCCTAATCAACTGATGACTGAAGTAATTTCAGTGTTCCCATGCAGATTCTACATGCAACATTCAGCTAATGTTATGATAGATTGCAACGTTTTGGGGCTAAGTATAGGCAGTCAAAAGGATTGGCTTAACTTAACTCCCATTTCCTTCCAGAATTTGGAAGAAAGCATTGTTTATTACACAAATCACAATCATCTCCCTCACAATTGCAGCCAGTTTTGGTCACCATATCACAAAAAAAGATGTTTTTTGGAAAAAACTCAGAGAAGAGCAACTAAGGTGATCAAAGGCCTGGAGACTAAAACATACGAAGAACGGCTTTGGGACTTGGGTTTGGCTAGTCTAAAGAAAAGAAGAAATAGGGGAGACATGATAGCAGGTTTCCAGTATCTGATGAGCTGCCACAAGGCAGAAGGAGTCACGTTGCTCACCAAAGCACCAGAGGGAAGGATGAGAAACAATGGTTGGAAACTGATTAAAGAGAGAAGCAACCTGAAATTAAAGAGAAAGTTCCTGACAGTGAGGACAATCAACCAGTGGAACAGCTTGCCTCCAGAAATCATGGGTGCTCCATCACTGGAGATTTTTAAGAAGAGACTGGACATTCATTTGTCTGAGACGGTATAGGTTCTCTTGTTTGAGCAAGGGGCTGGACTAGAAGACCTCCATGGTCTCTATTCTATTCTAAATAACTTCCTATCCCCCATTCTACCTCCTCAGCCTGGGAGTTGAAGTCCACAAGTCATAAAAGGGCCACGTTTGAAGACCCCTGAGTTAGGGTCTCACCTTGAAGCCCAATTTGAGTTGTTCTTTGTTTTTATTTTGCAGCCCACCCCATGAAGGGGGCAAAGGTGAAGAAGAAGCAAAAGGAAAAGCAACAGGTTGGTGAGATCACTGCACCATTAAACATCTTGCCTTTAGGAGGGATGATCAGAAAACATGACCAGGGGTTAATTCTCATAAAAATAAAAATAAAGGAACAGCTCAGCAATGCGCTTGGGGGGAGAAAAATAGACTTTTTGCAATTCAGGAACAGGCGTCTCATGCCCCAGTGGGCAGAATCAGCTTGTGAAAGCTGCCAATCTCTTTGTCGCTCAGCATTTGATGCCGAGCAGTAGGCCATCTCCAGGCAGCTGAAGCCTTCAGACAGTGTTGCCATGGATATAAATGGTGGCACAATTGGTTGCCGTTATTTTTAGGACTTTGCTGCCAATTTATTTGTACAGCCCAGAAGCAGGAAGGGGAAAAAAAAAACACCTCACAAAACAAACCTAAAAAAAAAAAAAAAAAAAGAGTGGCAGATTTGTGACTTCAGGGCCTTTCTGAAATCAAATGAAGGCCAAAACATAACCCTGGAAGGAAAGGCATAAATGAATGATATTACTTCTTTTGAAGCTGTTGCTTGTCTTTTAGAGAGAAACATTCCTTTTATTCAATAACTTTTTTTATTCAGACAAGAATCTGTCCCAGTTAAATGCAGCGGGAGACGAGGGAGGTGGACAGTTCTGCTCCATTTCTTATCATCATGCCACACATTCACATGGCAGATGTGTGTTCGGATTTTGTTATTTTCTTTCACACAACAGTCATTTTGAAGTGTGGTTGTCATGGGAATTTCAGCTGTTGGGGCTTTTCAATGATCAACTGTATTGTGTAGCACAGGCACCCAAAGATTTCAAACAATTTGAACTTTTTTTTTTTTAAAAAATGGAGGTAATTTAGTGCCTTGCAGACCAGCAAATATGACATCGTGCATTCCAAGAAGAACTGAAGGCTGAGTTCTCATTTCTGATCCTCTAAAACAGGGGACCCTAATCCACGGTCCATGGATCGGTACTAGGCCACGGCACGCCAGCAACCGGTCCACACAAAGAAGCAAAGCCCCATCCACGGGATGCAGGCAGTGCATGAAACCACGCCCCCTCCGGTCCACGGAAAAACCTCTCTCCACGGAACCGGTCCCTGGTGCCCAAAAGGTTGGGGACCACTGCTCTTAAACTTCAAAAAAAAAAAAAAAGTACAAGGCTGATAACCCAAGACACACTAGAGCAGAGGTCCCTAACCTTTTGGGCACCAGGGACTGGTGCCATGCAGAAAGTTTTTTCTGCAGACCAGAGGGGGTGTGGTTTTGAATATTGCCTGCATCCCGAGGATGGAGCTTTGCTTGTTTGTGCAACCCACTTGCTGACATGCTGTGGACCGGTGCCGGTCCACAGACTGGGGGTTGGGAACCTCTGCACTAGAGATGATTTTTTTTTTTTAAAAAAAGTGCTTGTCTCATCCACAGATTTCCCTCCCCCCCCCCAAAATAAAATTAAATACAATAAAATATCCAGTTAGGATAAATGAATGTTGATTTTTTTTGGTTTTCCCAATTTTCCAGCCTTAATTCTCCTTCATCCCGTTTCTACATGTGTTTGGGTATATATGTATGCGTGTCCAAAAGATGCTTTTTTTTTAAGAGGTAGTTGGACTTTCTTGTTTTTCTTTGAAGATCTTTCGCTTCTCATCCAAGAAGCTTCTTCAGCTCTGACTGGATGGCAGGGAATGGAAGGATTTACACTCCTTGCAGAGAGCTGGTCATTTGCATTCTTTTAGAGAGCTGTTGAGGCCACTTGAAGCTTTTTGGATGAGAAGCGAAACGACTTCAAGGAAAAACAAAGGAAATCCAACTGCCTCTTGAAAAAGCACCTTTGTGATAACCCTGGCCTGGATGACTGAGAATCTCCATAGACATATGAGTGTGTGTGTTTGTATAAACATTCTTACTATGATTTATGTGCACTTTGCTATCAAGTGCTTACTGACATAACGAATGTTCCATTATTTACTCTAATATATATATGCCCCTTTTGGTGAAGTTTTTAAAATTCAGTTCAGACTTCAGCTCCTGAATGAAAAACAGGAATTAATCCCAATCACATCAATAATGGCAGCAGAAACATTTAAAGAAGGGCAGATTTTAAAAGGTGAGTTTTAAACATGTAGACTGGCTTGAACAGGTGAAATGAAGGAAGCCTGCATTAAAATAATATACTGTTGAATTTATTTGTACCCAATAGACATAATGGGTTTTCATTTGTTGCCTACCTGTAGTTTACTGCTGCTAGTTTATGTTTTCCCTATCATAAAAGGCATCTATTAAGGAGGGATAGACAGTCGTTCCTATTTATTTATTTACTATATTTTTTTTAATCCCGCCTTTATTATTTTATAAGTAACTCAAGGCAGCAAACATACATAATACTCCTTGCTCCTTCTCTTTTTCTCCACAATAACAATCCTATGAAATTGGTTGGGCTAAGAAAGAATGATTGGCCCAAAGTCACTTGGCTGGCTTTCATGCCTAAGGCAGGATTAGAACTCACAATCTCCCAGTTTTTAGGGCACCACCTTAATCACTAGTTAAACTGACACTCTGATGCCCATAATGTTCTTTTGAAGAGTTTCATCTGTTGGAACCATGACACTTTCATGGTATAGATTTATGAATGAAATCTAGGCAGTTGTTCTATTACTATATGCAAAATGTTCCATATGTTCTAATATGCAAAATGTGTTCCGCATATTCTAATAAACAAAATAGGGAAACATTCGTCTGCCACTGAAAGTCTTCTCAATCCATGGAATTTCTCTTTTTTGAGAGTTTAGAAACCTAGGAGTGTTGAATGAGGAGGCAAGCTTAGCATGCTAATTTCTCGTCTCCTACCTGGAGTTGAGGGCTGACTTGTATGAGGAGAAGAGCTGAACAGAGCCTTAATTTCCTTGTTCCCTGCACATCTGAGAGCAAATATGTTCTTATCACACAACTGTCTTGCTTGAAAGAGGGATGCTGGAGTATGGATGTTTAGGCTGAAAGAACTTGCCATGAACTGTTTTGATAAAGATGCTGTACAGCGAGGTATTCAATTAACTAAGTCTCCAATGTCAATCAATATAGACAAAAGACTAACAGAGCCCCTGATTAAAAAAAAAAAAACACACAAAAAACCTCACAATCCTCCAGAGTGGAAGAAAACAACACCTTTCCCCTGAGCTGAAGGAGCTTTACTTCTACTTACTGGAAATGGATTTTACATGCATTGAATAAAGTCAGAGATGTTTGTAGGTAAACTGATATTATTTCTGCTTCTTCTATTCTTACTTCCGTACTGCTGGGACAATTCTTATTTTTTCTTCCTTCCGTGCAATAACCTGGATTGTTTGTGGGGTTTCCTTTATTAACATCACTGTCTAACATGTGGGATATAAATGGGAGAAGAATTATCAGTGGGAAGCAAACTGTGTTTATAGCTATCCTTCCTGGCAATAGTCATTTATCCTTATTATTACATTTGGGCAGCGCACAATAATATCTTTCTTACACAACTGGGAAATATCAAGGGTCCCCCCCCCTCTGTTTATCTGGATTGGCAGAAGCTGGCATCAAAATGGATTTCTTATAAGATGTCAAGATTTGCTTTTTTTCCATCTGGGAAAAGGATTTTCTTACATATACAAAGGCAATGGGCAATCCTAATTGATGGGGATAAAGGAGAAGGATTAAAGGCCCTTTGTTGTTTGCAGAAAGGGGGTGGAGAAGAAAAAAAACAACACTTTGGAACTGTGCAAGAGTGAAGTTTCTTCTCGAACTAGCTATGGTGGACAAAAGTTAAATTGTGGCTCCTAATGGCATCATCGGCTGACTTATGAGGACTTGATGGTATCTGGGGTTGTTTTTAACAATATATACAAACATTTTGAATTCTGGGTTTCATATGGGCTTAAGACTAAGGGTGAGTTTCAGGACATCAATAAGCTATGTGAAATTTGGCCTATGTGAGATTTTTGTTCTTGATGTATCCCAAGTTTAGCACCAATATTATCTTGACTGATGTGACGGACTGCATTCAAAGCATGGGCCTTGTCACTGAGAGAAGCCATCTCTTCATTTTTTAAAGGAAGGATGGACAATCAGAAATTCTGCAGCCATTTCCAGCATCCAACCCCATGCCTGAAGTCTTCAAAATGGGTCTTTCATTATGCTGTTTAATTTTGCTACCAGGATTTAATAGAATAGAATAGAATAGAATAGAATAGAATAGAATAGAATAGAATAGAATAGAATAGAATAGAATAGAATAGAATGGACTTTGGAGTCTTCTAGTCCAGCCCCCTGCTCAAGCAGGAGAACCTATACCATTTCAGACAAGTGACAGTCCAGTCTCTTCTTAAAAATCTCCAGTGATGGAGCATCCACGGTTTCTGAAGGCAGCCTTTATATAGGTTGAAAATGGAAACTTGCCCCCCCCAAAAGCTAAAATGTCTCCCCAGAAAAAACCTGCCAGACAATTCTGATCCTTTCCATGTGAATCATTGGTTAAACAAAAACTTTGCCCATCACAACATCTTCTCAATTAGCAAACGTGACCTCCCCTAAAGTAACTTGGTTGCATCCATGCAGGTGGAAGCAATCATGGTTCTATCATTCTCAAAAGAAATGCCCGATTTATTTAGGTATGAAAAGAAAGGCACAGAAAAATATGCATTATGGAAATGAAACATGTTGTAGTAAAACACACTTCTTGGGTGAAAGGTGCAAAAAAGTCGACAGTCCATACATGTACTTGCAAGCATTTCTTCCAAGGTTTATACCAAGCTGCACACTTGGAAAAACTGTCCAGCAAAACACATATGGAGTTTTATCAGGATTGAGTCAACTGAAACCAACAGATGGCTAGCAAAATATTCAGTTGAGCCTAAACAAAATGGACAAGTTATTTTTATACTTGGTTGTGTGATTCCCACCTAACCTTGTACTCCTTATTTGTAGTGACTTCTCCCCTTCTGTTCTCTTTCTTGTCTACCGAAGAAAGACTGCAGCCTCTTTGGAACCAGTTTTCATCCTAGGTGACCTCCTGCCATTGGGCACTACAAAAACATTAGCCTAGCAATGCGGTCTAATAAACTACTGATAGGTAATAATGAAGGCCAGGGGGCTATTTCCCCCTACTATTTCTCTTTGCTCTCTTTTTTCCCCTTATTTTTTTTTGGGGGGGACTGGGTTGGGGTTTTTTGGGGAGGGCAGGGTTTGGGGGGATGGGGCTATTGAAGCATCTTCTAGGTCAGTGGTTCTCAACCTTTTTAATGCCGCGACCCCCCAACCGTTCGTAAGTCGAGGACTACTCAACCGGTTGTAAGTCGAGGACTACTCAACTGGTGCAGCACCGTTTGCAGAATGGGACTTTTGGCGGGCTCAGCAGGGCAGAGACAGCCTGGACAATTCCTATTGGCTTTTGAAAGCCAATAGAATTAGACTCTATTCAAGAGAGTCTATTCTATTGGCTTTCAAAAGCCAATAGAATAAAAGGGAGTAGCACAGCTAAGGAAAAGAGGGAAAAATGGCGGACTGCATTGTTTGGCGACCCTCGTGAAATGGTCGGTCGACCCCAAATGGGGTCCCGACCCACAGGTTGAGAACCACTGTTCTAGGTAATTCTGAAAATAGAAAACCAGAGGAGATAATTCTGTGCTTATTCAGCCCCTTATCACTTTCCTCTGTGCAGATCAAGTAGGTTTTTTCAAAAAAAAACCCACAATGCTTTCATAATTTATTTCCTTTTAATTTGAGGGTGGGGGGGAAGGAGAGGTGTGATTGTGTTGGGAACAAAGGTGTAGGGAAAGGAGCAAATTCTTTGTTTTCATCAAATGTATCACTTTGTTTTCTACAAGGTATTTAAATTCTAATTAAACCGCAGCAACCAACAGGGAAAAGTCAGCCTGAGATAAGAGATGGAGCTGGGGAGGCAAAGGGATTCATTTATTTGTTTGTTTGTTTTTAATGGATGGCCTAGCTTAGCTTTCTATGGTGCCTCCTTACAACTAGCTCTGCATTCAAAATTAAATGCAATCCAGACCAGCCAATGAATTTTGACGGGGGTTTCTTGTGTGGAAGGGAGAGAGAGAGAGAGAGAGAGAGAGAGAGAGAGAGAGAGAGAGAGAGAGAGAGAGAGAGAGAGAGAGAGAGAGGAAAAAAAGAGTGACATTATATTTTGTCTCCACTCCAAAGATAAGCAGTCCTCTTTCCTTCAACTCAGTGGCTTAAAGTCCAGAGTAGCAGAAAGAACAGGAGCTGGGGAATGTTCTATCCTTTACCTTTTAGCCTGCTGGCTATGTCAATTTATGGCCTGAGATAAAACAGAATCAATAAGAACATAAATATAAATCCAAAAGACATTGTTGCAAACCTGAAGCCCAAGGCCAGTTGTGTCCCCTGCTCTCCACTTTTTGGCATGATCCCAACAATTTCCCTTGATTTGTACTTTGGAATATGAGAATTATCAAATTCATGGGATAAATGATATTCATGGTATCAAATCAAAGCTAGTTCATAACAGCTCTGAATCTTAACATTGGCTCCAGCTATTGGAGTGTGACTTCCTGTTGACAATCTCAACGAAGGCCTTGGCCTTTGAACGTTGTGTATCTTTGCCACGAGGAACTAAGGTTTAGTTTAACAACTATACACTGAACAGGAAAAATAACCATTCACAGCAGGGGTGGGCCACTACGGCAACTTTACGACCTGTGGACTTCAACTCCCAGAATTCCTAAGCCAACTATGCCTGGCTCAGGAATTCTGGGAGTTGAAGTCCACAAATCATAAAGTTGCTATAATTGCCCATCCCTGATCCAGAGGAATGACAGTAAATGGTAAGTACCGTTGACGGTCAAAGAGACTTCTCTCTCTCCTGCACCCACACGTGGAACCACAGCACGGCACACATATTTCCCAGCATCTTCTTGACGCACGTTTTTTAATGTTAGTGTGTTCTCATTGCTCAGGACCTGGAGAGAAAAAAAGAGAGAGTTTGTTCCAGATTTGAAACCAAGAAGGCAAGAATGCCATCTCAATTTTCAAGAATGAAGCTGCTGGATCCAGACATTGTGCTAAGTCATAGTTTGTTTTAAACATAATGTATCAGGCACACATCACCCTACTCCAGAAATGATGGTTTACAAATCACAAGCAATCCATGGGCATTCATTCATATCCTGATATGGTTCTACAAGCAAGTAAATGAACCACATTGTTTCTTGGCCAAGCATGGGAACCAACCACTAAGTAGTCCAGCCAGATAAGCAATATCAGAGGCACCTGAAAATGAGCTTCTGACATCGAAAGGTAGTCCTTCATCCTGTGTTCTCTTCCCATCTCAGTTTGCCATCTGTTGCCTAGTATGTGTCTTCTTCTGGCTAGGCCTTCACAGTACTACCTAGCTCCCTTCTAGTTTGCCTCATCTGTTTCTACCTCTTTCCAGTTTCTCTAACCATTCAGACAGCTGCATCCAAGTGTTAACCTCTGTTAGCAGCATCCCAATGCTGATCACAAGCATCATTCCGGCAGAAAGCTGGCTAAGGATTTAATGGCTTGGAATAGCCAAGGCTTTATATATAGGTAGTCTTTGACTTACAGCAGTTCATTTAGTGATTGTTCGAAGTTACAACATCACTGAAAAAAAAGTGACTTTTGACCGTTTTGCACACTTACGACCATTGCAGGTCACGTGATCAAAATTTGGATGCTTGCCAACTACTTCATATTTATGATGGTTGCAGTGTCCCGGGGTGATGTGATCCCCTTTTGCAACCTTCTGACAAGCAAAGTCAATGGGGAAGGCAGATTCTTTTAACAACCATGCTACTAACTTAACCGCTGCAGTGATTCACTTAACAACTTTGGCAAGAAAGGTCGTACAATGGGGCAAAATTCACTCAACAAATGTCTCACTTGTCAATAGAGACTTTGGGCTCAATGGTGTTCATAAGTTAAGGACTATCTGTATAATAAAATATTTTGGGGTGGAGTGCCCTTCTTCAGTATTTCAGTGAGTCGTGGTTTCCCTTTCTATTCCCCTTCTTTTCATTGCAGGAGACATTTAATCTTTTGCAACTTCTGGACAGCTTCAGCTCTTATTAGGACTTCTTCATATCATAGATGATCCAAATATTCTCATGCCCCTTTCTTCCTTCCCTGAGAAACTGGATAAATGATAAGTAGCGAAACTACAACGCTCAGCAGCTAATATAAATCTGAGAATTTTGGAGGGTTATCCCCATCAATAGACAACCCAGCCAGCTTGGGGAAGTGGAATAAAAAGTTTGTAAGGAAGAAGGAAGCATCTTTGAATCTGCAACTTTTAATTGAGAATTGTACTCCTCACTATTTTTTTTTAGGTAGAGCAGAGACGGCCAAATCCCTAAAGCTAATGTCTTGATGAACATTTCATTTTCAAGAGCTGCATTGTATCCTAGCTAATGTCTAAAAATTCTCCGTTGTATTTCCAGGCAGAGGAATTGCTATTTTGAGGTCACAGCCACCCTATTACAAAAGTATCGTGAAAATCAGCTCCGTGTCACACAGCCCTGATCCTGTTCCAGCTCCTTTGGCCCTTTTGGCATCGACACTACTAGGCATCGTGCCCTATAACCCACACTGGTGCAATCAACCATTTTATTAAAAGTTCTTAAATGCTGAAGTAGGGAATTTTTGTGCAGCCCAGTCAGCAAAATGCGAACTCCTGTGATATTTGGAAATATGATGAGTCTAAAACAAATATGCCCTTTAAGAGTCAACTTCTTCTAATTGCTTATGGAAGTTGCAATGGCTAATTTCCTAATCTGTACAACTGGAGCTGTCAGGACCGATCTGCAGCTGAAATAGACAGGCATTAAATGCTTGTGCTGGGAGCTGCATACTGGGTGATGGTCTCCGTTCACCTATCTGCACAGAGCAAGCTGGAGCATCTGCTCTCTTTCTCCGGTGGAAATTTGGACGGCGTCCCTTTGGGCCTGGTTTCTTTTTGCCTTTCTGGTATGTGTGTTTGCTCTGTAAATACAACCCAGCATGTTTTCCATTTGGCACCATTGAGTGTCTGATCTTAGAGCCAACTCTGCTGCACAGATGGGGAGTTTACACTGATATTTAGTAAAACACATAAAGGCCTTCAGCAGTAGTGAAAAGATATTGCAAAGGCATCCTACATCAAAACCAGCGAGACTGGGAAAGTATTGCAACTTAAAGCATGTTTTGGCTTGGTGTGGTTTTTTTTTTATTTATTGTTAGATGCTCAGAGTGAAACTCACACAAAGCAATCTGTTCATGAGCACAGATAGGCCTAGGGCAGGGGTAGGCAACCTCAGCTCTTTTATGACTCATGGACTTCAACTCCCAGAATTCCTGAGTCAGCTTGGATGCAGCTATGCTGACTCAGGAATCCTGGGAGTTGAAGTCCATGAGTCATAAAAGAGCCGAGGTTACCTACTCCTGGCCTAGGGCCAGCAGTGGTGGCAGAGACAGTGGGAGGGGCTCAGTGTGAAGGACCATATACCCCTTTCCACCATTCCCTAGGTGCCGACCAAAATGGGTTTCTATATTGAGAATGCAGCAGAGTCCATCACGTGCATTAAGGCTGACCCTTGTAGGTGTGAGCATTATGGGAATAGAGGGGGAGGGACAGGTCCAGTGGTGGAATTCAGCCAGTTCGCACCACTTCAGCAGAACCTGTAGCTAATTCTTTGTTACCCAGGCCCAGAATGGACTTCTGGAAGCGGCATCCACACAGAGAACCGGTTGTTCCCATATTTGAATCCCACCACTGGGCAGGTTTCATACAGTGATACTGTATTCACATCTGTATCATGCGTCTATGCATCCAAATAGTTTTTCAGGGTTCTTGATCAATGGCATCCTTGTTGCAATAATGCACATTGGCCATAGAGGCTTCAGATTGCATTAGGGAATGATTTGGTTGCTAGCCACCATTCTTTTGGGCACTGCATATACAGAAGAAGAGTTCTATTGCTGAGAAAGGACATAAATTTAATCCTGCTGAAGGATGTCTACTAATATGCCAGTTTATTTTATAAATAAGAAGAGTGAAATTCTGGATTCCATCTATTCTTGACTGAAGCTGATAAATATATTCATGCTTTTCCAGCACTTGATTATAGTGTAAAATAGCTGCTCCTGTGCAGACTGTCTCCATCAAAAGACATTATTTTTAAGGGAATACAACTGCTCTGTATTGATGATAGATAGATAGATGATAGATAGATAGATAGATAGATAGATAGACAGACAGACAGATAGACAGACAGACAGATAGATAGATGATATAGATACTGATGGATGGATAGATGGATGGGTGGATGGATGAATAAATGGATGGAGATAGATAAAAGAAAGATAAGAGATGATAGACAGACAGAACCACTAAGACATGCAAGACATCTTTGGATTCTATGACTGTGAAATGATTACAAGGGCATGCATGATCCCAAGCAAAGAAGATCCAGAGCAAATCTCAGCCTTAGCTTGGGCTGCTCACAATGAGTGTGCAATGTATAAAGATAGTTTACAATAGCTTCACCTGCCACAAAGAGATTAAATGAGGCTCTGGCCTTTAGTTAACCTGGATGTTGCTCATAATGGGAATCTGTTCAGTTTCTATTAGGGCTATTTTGTGAAGCTGCCCTTTGCAAGCAGAAAATGCTCCAAGAGCTGTGAGCGCCATGGAAACCGGTCCTTTCCATTTGTATGAGGCCAGTTACATAAATCAACCTTCACGACCTCTGCATAGTCAAACATTTCCTCTTCTCTTAATTTAACTATAAAGACCTTCCCATTCAAGGCGGGCGACTATCACTGCCTAGTAGTCTGGATTAGGACAATATACCATCCTTTCCTTGGCTTGGTTGCTCAAGGAAGACTCCTACCAAAGCTAGACATTGCTGGACTATTTGAGCACCACAACACTGTTTTCTTTCCATCCATATAGCCAGTGAAGAGAAGTAGGTTGTTGCAGAGAGAATAAGGAATGGCCTTGCAGGACAGGAGGAATTGCTGCTACTAAGTCAATTGTCAGATAAGAGGGACTTGAGTCCTGGCCAAGAAAATAGCTTCAGAAAACGTTTTAGACAAGCCCCTCCCCAGTTCATACAAAAAGCAAGCAATAGAGGAGGAAGCATATTGAGGCTTCACAATTGCCTTACTGTAGATGTAACAATCAAGGCAGTCTTGACCTATTCAGCATTCTGGTCTACTTTGCAGGGCCGCTATATGTTGAGGAAGTCTCCATAAGCCAGTGGAGACCCCAGGTGGAGCAGAATAGACTTCTCTATTCCAATCCTAAGGATGACTTCCTTCCCTGTCGTTCCCTGTGGCTCAGCTTGAAAATCAACCCTGTAGACTAGACCATGAAATTTCTCCTTCCCATAGAAGGAGGAATGCTAGCAGTAAAGCTTCAAAACATGCTTGTCTCTGTGGAGCTTTCCTTTCCCCCCTTCAGATCACAGAAGAGGAGATGAATGGTTTTTAAATGCTCTACATGTTAAAAGTCGCATGCCTCTTTGATAAGTTATGGAGACTTTCCCTGACACAAAGAGTTAGAATAAGAATGCATGAGGTGAGTGGTAGACCAGCAAGGCATCATTGAGCTCTGCAATCTATCCTCAAACATCTGGCCAACTTTGAGCAGCGCTGCCTATCATTCTTACCACACCAGAGCCCCTCTTCATCCAAACAATGGTCAGAGATGGGTTTCCAATCCAGGCACAATTAAATACAGCATCTGATCCAAGATCAACAAGAAGAGACTGTGGTTCCGTCATCATGCGTGGCCCAACTGAAATAAAAAAAAATATCATTGAAGTTCTACGCAGGACAGAACAGCCTCTAAAATTTAACATAGTCATCACAGTACATATGAAAAAAAAGAACATTATAGCTCAAGCATTGGGTTTGAATGAATTCTTCTTGTTTTGTGGCCAAGGGCCTTAGCTAAAGAAATGTTTATTCCAGCCCTTTCACAAGAAAGATCTTATATTAGGGAAAGTATGGTTATTAGGATCAATTATCCTTGGCATATGGGTCTCATTTTCTGACTTTGTCATTTTTGTGTCAGAGTTTTTAAAGAGGCATTCAAAAGATGTATCCCCATCAATTGGTCCATGGCCAGCTTTTGTCCTGCAAAAAAACCCCACACCCAACATAAGGTGTTAAGTGTGATGAGCAATGTTCTAGTAAATCAGCAGTTGAGCCATACTTACAGTATACATCGACTGTTCTGCTGATGTTGGTACTTCCCAGAGCATTTGTCACCTCACAAGAGATGGGTTCAAAGAAATAGGTGAAGTCAATGATGGTCTCATAAGCATCACTTGATGCTTCCTTTATAATGTGGCCCTTTTTGGCCCATCTGTGGGGTAACAACAAAGAAAATACCAGGGTTGTGTTAAGACAATATTCTGGAGAAAGCAAACTTCACCTTGATGGGAGAGATAAGGCAGGAGATTAAAAATACAACAGAAGGTAAACCACCAGAGATGAAGCTGGATGCTAGACACTGCCGAAGTCTGATGCACATGAATAAATTGCAATATGGAACCCATGTAAAATACCAAGTTCCTCCAGTAATTTTCTATGTGTCAACTAAAACATTTGTTTTCAGTGACTTGGAGGGAGAAGGAGGAAACTGCTGGATCAGCCATTCTGTCAATCCTTGCTTTGTTTTAAATTATAGATAAGTGTAAAACTACTGGTTCAGCAAAGAAAGGCGCCCATAGCACACAAATTATTTATTTCATTTTGAAAAGTTTATATCCTGGCTTTCTTCCATCGTGGAACAAGATACAGGGCAGCTAGGTGTGATGAGACTGGTAGCTGCTTAGTTTCAATGAATTCATTCCATATGATGTCCTAGGAGTTGGCCAAGAGAAGCATCCATGATGGCTTTCATATTCTCTTTGGTCCTCTCAAGGCAATTTGTGTTTTTTTTCCCCATTGTGTATTCTTGATATATTCTTCTCCATTACTAAATGTCTCTGAGAGTGTAGTACAGTTGAAGTCTTGGGCATAGAAAGGGGAAACTTAGGTTTAAGGACCATAACATTCATTGAGTGACTTGAGGCCAGTTGCTACTTCTTGGCTTAGCTTGACTCATTCTGAGACTTTGGTAAAATAAGGCCAGGTAAACAAGGAAATCAACTTTCCTTCTTAAAATAAGAGAAAGGTGACTAAAGAGTGAGATAAATAAGTAGTTGAAAACAAAGACATCAAGTTGTTGGGAAAATCCATGAATCCATTCTCTGTAAACAGGTGGGACAATTCCACATTTTTTTCTCATAGTGCTCTTTTATTGGCAGCTTAAGATCATCCATGACTCAACGGTTACAAAACAATGCGACAGAAATGAGAACAGAACTTATTTTTTCCATTGTTTCATTTTCCAGACTAGGGATAGGGGAGAAGAGGTAATAAATGACCAGCTAAATGATCTAAATCTTCTTATGGCCCTAGGGATGTCACCTAAAGCAGGAGTCCTCAACCCGGGCAACTTTAAAGTTGCTAAGGTTGGAGACCCCTGACCTAAAGGATTAGGGATTGCAGCTTAAGTAACACATTTACATTGGCTTGGTAGCAACCAAAGGTTAACGGGGAAGGAGAAGAAAATGAAGAAGAAAGAATTTACATGAATGTGTTATTGAGGCAACCAAGCCATTTTATTTATTTATTTATTTATTTATGAGACTTATATACCACTTTAAGTGCAAGCACTCTCTAAGCGGTGTACACCGGTAAGCAATGTATATATATATATTTACATTGCCCCCAACAATCTGGGTCCTCATTTTACCTACCCCGGAAGGATGGAAGGCTGAGTCAACCTTGAGCCGGTGAGATTTGAACCGCTGATCTGCTGAACACAGTCAGCTAAAGTGGCCTGCAGTACTGCACTCTAACTGCTGCGCCATTTTAATGAATGGAAGACATCTTTCCAAAAATCTTTGCCCTTTGGCCACACATGAGTAACACTCCTAAGATTCTAATTCTGTGGACATTTTGGCAGGATACCTCAAGTAAGCAACACCCCCAATCAAGAAGCTGCCAAAGAGCTATTAGTAAACAGCCCAACCAAAGAATCCCCAAGTCCTCCCACCCCACCCAGACAGGCAAAGACACGAGAATAGAAGATGACAGCAAATCACACTCCTGACTAGCACTGATGATGTTACCTAGTTAGGGTAATGAAATATCTGCAAGAAAACAAGCAAGCTCAGAGAGCACCAAGGACCCCTCATTTCAGCCCTGAGCTACAAATATTCTCCTTCATTGATATATGATTTATATGCAAATGCCCATGAAGCTGAATCCCCCCCCCAAAAGTGGGGAAGAAATAAAAGCTTTAGTGCTTTGTCTAGACAGGAATCTCTGTGTACTCAATCATGTTTGTGTGTGTGAATAAAAGTGGCACTCCTGTTATTACAGCTCACTTTTTTTACAGCTTTTTATAGCTAAATCATAGTTCAATCCACATGGACAATGCTTGGATTAGAAGAAAGAAATAATCCTAGATGTCTTATAGATCTAACTATAACTTGCTAAGCATGAATCTTTCTTCAATGGGAAATTTGTATGCCATTTCGAAAATTAGGTTTTCAGAAAGCTACAGCTTCACTGATGTAAAATGCTGCATTTCATAGGAAGTTGCATAATAAAGGATTGCAAGTAACCTTGGGGAAAAGTTGCACAGTTAGGTAGCAAGTAATTCTATTGTATAAGGACACATCGTAGATTAGCATAATTGGTTGTGGAGTTGTTTTTGTTGTGTTTAAACATCATTTGGATTGATTGATGGAACTGAAATGATCATGAAGCTTAATGTCTATGGAGATTCTCAGTCATCCAGGTCATGGTTTGGAACCCTAGCTAGCCAATAATGATGAAGCTATTAAATTTTAAATTTAATTTTAAATTTTTAACCCCTTCCCCCCAATTTCTTTTAAAAAAGAACTGAAGTTTTGGCTGAAATGTTCATCACCATAGAACTGATTCAGATGGCCCACATCTTTTTCCGTCAGGAAATGTACAAGATTACCAAAGCCATGGATTTGATTATCATGGGAGAGGGCAGAAGGATTTGAGAGAGGATAAGGAGGTCCAGCCTTGGTAGACCAGAGGGGCTTCCTTCAGTCCCCATTGTCAGGTGTGAAGAATCAGGACCACACGTTAAGTTTCAGTTAAGAAGATTTATTTCTCGTATCTATATTTTATTTACGTTTGTCAAATGAAAATTACAAATTTGCACGAGCCAAATGAAAACAATAAAAATGTGACAGGGATGATAGGCATGTTAGTGCTCTTACACCCACATCCTTAGGAACCTCTTAAATACGGGGTGAGGTCTACAGAAGTAAAGTTAGAATAAAACTGTGAAAGCTAGTAGCTGAGACAACTAAATACACAAGAATCTAGTCAACTAACAGTCAGCACTAAATTAGTGCCAGATAAGAGTCAATGGAATTCAAGGGAGGACTGGACTTGGATCGTTTGTAGCAACATAATGACTTCAGACTGATTCCTCTCTTGACTCCACTCCCCTAGTGTTGCACTTCTTTTCCTACACCATACCCCATTCTAATAGGCTGGAGTATACTCATAGTATGGAACTCTCCCTCTCTGCTTTAGCCTTGCCCGAGTACAGATGTCATGTAGTACTGTTGGCATTGAAAGGAACGTTTCAACTTCCAGACTCCAAAATCAAAAAGGACCATTATGCAAAGTAGGCCCAACCTGGCTGAAAGAATTCAATCCAAAGTCTTGCCAAGTCATGCATTCAAATTATCCACATGAAAATCCAGTTCTTTTCCCTTGGAATCTCTTCGCCCTTCATCCCTTTTAATCAAAGAGAACATTATCCCTTTAAAGGCAGTTGAAATTGCATCGTGCTGGAAAGCCACCCTGGCATCTGAAACACTGCAGTGGGAAAATTGTCTTTGAAGACAAGCTGTCAACTCAGCACTTGAATTAAACTGCTATTTACCAAACAATAAGCAAATGTGACCTAATGGAGCACCATCTGGCATCTTGCCACTTTAGGGATGTGTGTTGGAGCTGCTGGGAAGGAGAAAGTGTCAGTGTGTGTTAGACTGGATCAAGGGAACTTGGGGGGGGGGGGAGGACCTGGCAATATCTACAGTATTTTACTTGCAGGAAAAAAATCCCAAATCTGTAATAAGTCCCAGAAGAATATTATCTCCGAATCAAGGCTTTTCTCTACTGATTTTTTTTTTAATAAAACAACATAATTTGTGACCATATTTCTTGACATCCCAAAGAAGGTATACTAGAAGTTCCTTCTCTCTTTATCAACCCCAAAGCAGACAGATGCACATTCTGTAGCCAGACTCATTTGGGTGTATGTGTGTGTCACAAATGCACAAACGTTTCCTCGCCATTAAAAAACAACAATGAAAGAGATGTAAAACTATGAATAAGTAGCAACATTCCCACCTGGTGGTCATCATCAGGAATGCAAATATGAAATTATTCAAGGTAAAACAGAAGAACAGATTGTTGCATTCTTTTGACTTAAAGAAGTGACCACGTGGGAAAGTTATCTTGTAGGGTGGCAAAAACAATCCATCTTCCATTTATTTTACCTCAAAATGCTCAAAAGCAATCTCTCTACAATACAAACAGCAGTCAGTGAACAGTCAGTCTGTTATTCTGGGCTAGGAAAAAGAAATATTCAGTCTGGTAAAACTGAATAAAAATCAGGGCAGATTTAGGAAAACGACATGTAAATGAAATATGTATACATGAAACTGAATAATAAAAAAATTAATAAAGAGAAAAACATGTATTAAAGGAAGTTGAATACAAGATGGTTTATTCTACAGGAAATATTATGTTCTGTCTCCATCGCCCAAAAAAGAAGTTTTTACCAATACTCCAATGGTCTCAAAAGTGCTTTTCCAAAAGGCAACTGGACTGTTTTTTTCCTTGAGGAAGAAGAACAAAATAGTTTCGTTTCTCCAAGTTTCCAAGAAACTTCATCAGTTGTGATGGGGGCGGGGGGGCGGAAGAGATGTTATATAGGTAGTGATAGTTGAGACTGGATGGTGGGGATGGTGGTGGTGGAAGGATTATGTTTCTTTGCAGTCATCTGGTCCATTAGCATTTTTGGACCCACCATCCAGTCAGAGCCTATCCTTCCATCTCCCACCACCCAGTCTCAATGGTCAGTATTTATACTCCATCCCTCCTCTTCTCCACCCCCCACGCCCCCAACTGATGAAATTTCTTGGGTGAGAAATGAAACTGTTTTGTTCTTTTTCCTCAAGGAAAAAAACAGCCCAGCTGCCTTTTGAAAAAGCACTTTTGAGACAACTATGATTTGGGTGACTGAGAATCTCC